ATCATACGTCAGTAGTTTACACCACGTCATATTGCCATCATACGTCAGTAGTATACACCACGTCATATTGCCATCATACGTCAGTAGTTTACACCACGTCATATTGCCATCATACGTCAGTAGTTTACACCACGTCATATTGCCATCATACGTCAGTAGTTTACACTACGTCATATTGCCATCATACGTCAGCAGTATACACCACGTCATATTGCCATCATACGTCAGTAGTATACACCACGTCATATTGCCATCATATGCCAGCAGTATACACCACGTCATATTGCCATCATACGTCAGTAGTATACACCACGTCATATTGCCATCATACGTCAGTAGTTTACACCACGTCATATTGCCATCATACGTCAGTAGTTTACACCACGTCATATTGCCATCATACGTCAGTAGTTTACACCAGGTCATATTGCCATCATACGTCAGCAGTATACACCACGTCATATTGCCATCATACGTCAGTAGTATACACCACGTCATATTGCCATCATATGACAGCAGTATACACCACGTCATATTGCCATCATACGTCAGTAGTATACACCACGTCATATTGCCATCATACGTCAGTAGTTTACACCACGTCATATTGCCATCATACGTCAGTAGTATACACCACGTCATATTGCCATCATACGCCAGTAGTATACACCACGTCATATTGCCATCAGACGTCAGCAGTTTACACCACGTCATATTGCCATCATACGTCAGTAGTATACACCACGTCATATTGCCATCATACGCCAGCAGTATACACCACGTCATATTGCCATCAAACGTCAGCAGTATACACCACGTCATATTGCCATCATACGCCAGTAGTTTACACCACGTCATATTGCCATCATACGCCAGCAGTATACACCACGTCATATTGCCATCATACGTCATTAGTATACACCACGTCATATTGCCATCATACGTCAGTAGTTTACACCACGTCATATTGCCATCATACGTCAGTAGTATACACCACGTCATATTGCCATCATACGCCAGTAGTATACACCACGTCATATTGCCATCAGACGTCAGCAGTTTACACCACGTCATATTGCCATCATACGTCAGGTAGTATACACCACGTCATATTGCCATCATACGCCAGCAGTATACACCACGTCATATTGTGCCATCAGGCGTCAGCAGTATACACCACGTCATATTGCCATCATGCGCCAGTAGTTTACACCACGTCATATTGCCATCATGCGCCAGCAGGTATACACCACGTCATGTTGCCATCATACGTCATTAGTATACACCACGTCATATTGCCATCATGCGCCAGTGGTTTACACCACGTCATGTTGCCATCATGCGTCAGTGGTATACACCACGTCATATTGCCATCATGCGTCAGTGGTTTACACCACGTCATATTGCCATCATGCGCCAGCGGTATGCACCACGTCATATTGCCATCATGCGTCATTAGTATACACCACGTCATATTGCCATCATATGTCAGTAGTATACACCACGTCATATTGCCATCAGACGTCAGCAGTTTACACCACGTCATATTGCCATCATTCGTCAGTAGTATACACCACGTCATATTGTCATCATACGCCAGCAGTATACACCACGTCATACTGCCATCATACGTCAGTACTATACACCACGTCATATTGCCATCATACGTCAGTAGTATACACCACGTCATATTGCCATCATACGTCAGCAGTATACACCACGTCATGTTGTCATCATACGTCATTAGTATACACCGCGTCATATTGCCATCATGCGTCAGTAGTATACACCACGTCATATTGCCATCATACGTCAGTAGTTTACACCACGTCATATTGCCATCATACGTCAGTAGTTTACACCACGTCATATTGCCATCATACGTCAGTAGTTTACACCACGTCATATTGCCATCATACGTCAGTAGTATACACCACGTCATCTTGCCATCATACGTCAGTAGTTTACACCACGTCATATTGCCATCATACGTCAGTAGTTTACACCACGTCATATTGCCATAATACGTCAGTAGTTTACACCACGTCATATTGCCATCATACGTCAGCAGTATACACCACGTCATATTGCCATCATACGTCAGTAGTTTACACCACGTCATATTGCCATCATACGTCAGTAGTTTACACCACGTCATATTGCCATCATACGTCAGTAGTATGCACTACGTCATATTGCCATAATACGTCAGTAGTATACACCACGTCATATTGCCATCATACGTCAGTAGCATACACCACGTCATATTGCCATCATACGTCAGTAGTTTACACCACGTCATATTGCCATCATACGTCATTAGTATACACTACGTCATATTGCCATCTTACGTCAGTAGTATACACCACGTCATATTGCCGTCATACGTCAGTAGTATACACCACGTCATATTGCCATCATACGTCAGCAGTATACACCACGTCATATTGCCATCATACGTCTATAGTTTACACCACGTCATATTGCCATCATACGTCAGTAGTTTACACCACGTCATATTGCCATCATACATTAGTAGTATGCACTACGTCATATTGCCATCATACGTCAGTAGTATACACCACGTCATATTGCCATCATACGCCAGCAGTATACACCACGTCATATTGCCACCATACGTCAGTACTATACACCACGTCATATTGCCATCATACGTCAGTAGTTTACACCACGTCATATTGCCATCATACGTCAGTACTATACACCACGTCATATTGCCATCATACGTCAGCAGTTTACACCACGTCATATTGCCATCATACGTCAGCAGTATACACCACGTCATAATGCCATCATACGTCAGCAGTATACACCACGTCATATTGCCATCATACGTCAGTAGTTTACACCACGTCATATTGCCATCATACGTCAGCAGTATACACTACGTCATATTGCCATCATACGTCAGTAGTATACACCACGTCATATTGCCATCATACGTCAGTAGTATACACCACGTCATATTGCCATCATACGTCAGCAGTATACACCACGTCATATTGCCATCATACGTCAGTAGTATACACCACGTCATATTGCCATCATACGTCAGCAGTATACACCACGTCATATTGCCATCATACGCCAGCAGTTTACACCACGTCATATTGCCATCATACGTCATTAGTATACACTACGTCATATTGCCATCTTACGTCAGTATTATACACCACGTCATATTGCCATCATACGTCAGTACTATACACCACGTCATATTGCCATCATACGTCAGTAGTTTACACCACGTCATATTGCCATCATACGTCAGTAGTATACACCACGTCATATTGCCATCATACGTCAGCAGTTTACACCACGTCATATTGCCATCATACGTCAGCAGTATACACCACGTCATATTGCCATCATACGTCAGCAGTATACACCACGTCATATTGCCATCATACGTCAGTAGTTTACACCACGTCATATTGCCATCATACGTCATTAGTATACACTACGTCATATTGCCATCATACGTCAGTAGTATACACCACGTCATATTGCGATCATACGTCAGCAGTATACACCACGTCATACTGCCATCATACGTCAGTAGTATACACCACGTCATATTGCCATCATACGTCAGCAGTATACACCACGTCATATTGCCATCATACGTCAGTAGTTTACACCACGTCATACTCCGGCTGAGGTGCTGTTCTTTTATCAAGTATATTAATATAATAGGTACGTTTCCACCGCGCTGGATTCCATACAACAGAGTATGTTCAAAGCGCGACATAAGAAGAGGTGTTGGGAGTGCTGCAACACATAAAACATTTGTACATAAATAGTTTGAAACCTTTCAGGACATGTTTGTTAAACACTGTAATATATTCTGAAGAGGAATGTTTTCAAGGCACATTTGAAGGAATCAAGGGATGTCTGAGTTCGAGTGGCAGCTGGTTCCATAGTGTTGGAGCTCCATAACTAAAACAGCGGAAACCAAAGGGTTTTAGTTTACGTCTTGGGATGACCAATAGATGTTGATCAGCTGATCGTAAGGCTCTCGATGGAACATGTTTGGTCACCAACTCATTGAGGTAGTCAGGAGCAGTTTCACGACAGCACTGTTCGGTATACTCGGGATTTTATACTCCCTGACTCCTCTGACTCTTATGGGCAACCAGAGTAAGGCTTAAGAGCCAAACGTTGGGGTAAGGAACGCATGGGACAAACAATTCCACCGCCGAGCGCCGAGTTAAAGTATCACTTGCTTTCTAAAATGTATTCTACGCAAACTAGGTGTCACGTGACACATTCCTGTCACCGTGATTTGTTTGCATCTATTGCTAGGAAATAGCAGTTTTATCACACGAGCTTGAGATTGCAAGTTGGTGGTGAGCCAAAAGCGACTTACCATTTCCTCATCATGAGAAACACGATCTCATTCCGTTTATCTTTTTTGACTGACAAGGGCTTATTTTGCTTCACGAGCATTTGTATACTTTAACATATTGGTCTAACACGCCATTCTAGTGATACATGCACGGTTAGTCATATGTAGACAGTGTGGTTATTCCTAGGACATTGCGTGAAGACCTTGTATGAAACTTACTTGATGGACAAGCAGAGTGTTTGTCTGTGTGTCTGTGTGTCTGTCTGTGTGTATGTGTGTGTGTGTGTCTGTCTGTCTGTGTCTGTGTCTGTGTGTGTGTTGGCGTGGGTGGGTCTCCCTCTCTCTCTCTCTCTCTCTCTCTCTCTCTCTCTCTCTCTCTCTCTCTCTCTCTCTCTCTGTGTGTGTGTGTGTGTGTTTGTTGGCGTGGGTGGGTCTGTATGTGTTTGACGGTCTGTCATGTTATGAAACTCCTAGTCGTTCCTCTCCATTCTGTATAATCCCAACGTCAGTTGTCGCGCCCTAAAAATCAAGATTATAAGATGACAAAACGATGACGTCACCATCGCACGCCACCTGATTGGTTAGGATCCTGTATGGCATATGACGTACAGGATGAATTGTTTGAACTTACCCGCTGTTGTGGTAAACTCCACCTTGTTGCTGAAGTTGCTGGTCGTACCTGTCGTCCCTACAGACACCATGAAGACGCGGTACCGCTGACACGGAATCAACCCCAGGAGCGCCACCTGACGTCGGTCACCATGGATGCCGCGTGTCACACTGTACCTCCCGATGGGAGAATCGACTAGGTCGTAGGTGAGTTCAAATCGGAGTATGAAAGGGGTGTCAGGTGGTACAATCCAGTATAAATATGCACGGGTCTTGGTTGCTGATAACACAGTCAGGTTGTTCGGAGGTAACAGGAAATCTGAAAAAGATTGTTCCGTCTGTTAATATTTAATTTTCTTGAATATAAAATGCTTAAAGTCAAAAGGTCATGATCCATTTAACTAGGCCATCCATGTAGCTATTGTCTAATGCTACGATCGCCAGTTAATTCATTGTCAGGTCCTTAGATTGTGTTGAAGAGGGAAAATACGGTAAGTTTGATATATTCCTTTATATGTAGCTGATTGTAAAGTGCTGAACACAGTGCAGTCATACCCTGGGCACAAGAAAGTATGCACTTGAAAACCGTATTTAAATTACAAACGTAAACAAAACGCTTCCGGGTAAAATTAAAAAACTGCAACTATTGTGTCAAGTGATATCCAACGAACAGGTAGTTTTGTTTGAAACACGTTTAGACACCATAAGTGTTGTGTGTGTACTTTCATTTCGCCAGCAGTTTAACGGGGACGTGTTGATTGTCAGTATATATCATTGTTAGTTTCGTTTTCAGCTAAACAGTTCTGTATCATGTCAGTTATGTTAACACCGCCTTCTAGTCACCTCCCGGAAACAACAAAAAGAACTTTAACAATGTACCCTTCTGGGATTCGAACCCTAACTGACGGCGTGATGAGCGACCACCTCCCTATCTAGATGTGATCTAACTAAAGGCAACAGATGGCCGTGACTCTCCATATCCGTCGTGTCTGTCAATAGGATTATCATTTTCGATAACGAGTTATTTCAGTTCGATATATGGATAAATAATATCAGCAATTGTGATAAATAGCATCTTAGAAAATAAGGTTACTGAAAGCTATGATTCAAGTGGCGCGACAGACGAGGTTATTGATCGTGCAGATAGATCCTCTTTGAGCACACGACGTGGCACTCCGCTGAGAGCCGTGCATCTCGTACAGTACCATTCACTGTGACACATATCAAAAACTGATAACCACGTCAACGACTACTGATGCGGAAGTAAATACCAACAGGATTCACATAGTGAATGGTAATATCGCAGAAGTCAGAAAGTGTTCGAGTCTGGACCAGACAAACCGGTCGGACGAGATGCGAACTCCGACCATCGCTTCGTTCCAGGATATATGTCATCATTTCTGTCACACCCGAGACAAAGTACAATCGATACTTACTCACTCTCTGTACAAAGGAGCGTAACTTCACACCAAGAAGTCCTTAATACTGACATTTATTACTCAACGCGTGTAAAGTATATATCCCGATCATACGGGATCCAGTGTGTCTGGAAAATGAAATACGACTGGGAATAACTTTGCAACAGCTCCTAGACTATTTGTTCATTCAACCTAAGTTTCAGCTTCTGTGGTTTTAATCGGAGACAAACAAATAATATATGTGGACAGGACGCCGCATGCCTGACGCCAGGCCATCACGCTTGCTCAAGCTGTGTTCAAACCATTCACATCACTGAGAGAGTAACAGACTCCTTCTGTGTGGACACTAGTTGTATCACAGTGTGAGTGGTTAGTACATGTAGTTGTTTTCTGGATGTGATCGTTATCTGCAAGAACGACGTACATGTGATATATAAAAATCTCACACTAGTCAGAATGTAATACCGAGGCTTGCCGAGGATATTTTTACTTTATCAACGAGTGTTGATATATTTGATATCAAGATCGTTATCACTCTTCATTAATTTTCAATGAAAATGTTCTCTGAACATGGTACTGCCATTACTGCACGCGATGTCATAGCATTGTACATGCGGCTGGTCAGGGCATTGTACAAAATCACTGTCAAAGCTGGTGATATATGAATAACACGTGTGATAAATGAATACTGACGTGACGTACTGCGGCTGGTGGTACTGACGTGTACTGCTGGTCAGCTGGTGATATATGAATACACGTGTTGGTGTACTGATCTGACGTGTTGGTGTGTACTGCGTGTACTGGTGGTGGAGGAGGTCAGCTGGTGATATATGAATACACGTGTTGGTGTACTGACGTGTACTGCGGCTGGTGGAGGAGGTCAGCTGGTGATATATGAATACACGTGTTGGTGTACTGACGTGTACTGCGGCTGGTGGAGGAGGTCAGCTGGTGATATATGAATACACGTGTTGGTGTACTGACGTGTACTGCGGCTGGTGGAATACACGAGGTACTGACGTCAGCAGCTGGTGATATATGAATACACGTGTTGGTGTACTGACGTGTACTGCGGCTGGTGGAGGAGGTCAGCTGGTGATATATGAATACACGTGTTGGTGTACTGATGCTGGTGGAGGAGGTCAGCTGGTGATATATGAATACACGTGTTGGTGTACTGACGTGTACTGCGGCTGGTGGAGGAGGTCAGCTGGTGATATATGAATACACGTGTTGGTGTACTGACGTGGTGGAGGAGGTCACTGCGGCTGGTGGAGGAGGTCAGCTGGTGATATATGAATACACGTGTTGGTGTACTGACTGCGGCTGGTGGAGGAGGTCAGCTGGTGATGTACTGATATATGAATACACGTGTTGGTGTACTGACGTGCGGCTGGTGGAGGAGGTCAGCTGGTGATATATGAATACACGTGTTGGTGTATATGAATACACGTGTTGGTGTACGTGTGACGTGGTGATATATGACACGTACGCTGGTGATATATGAATACACGTGTTGGTGTACTGACGTGTACTGCGGCTGGTGGAGGAGGTCAGTGTTGGTGCGCGGCTGGTGGGGGAGGTCAGCTGGTGATATATGAATACATTGGTGTACTGATACACGTGTTGGTGTACTGACGTGTACTGCGGCTGGTGGAGGAGGTCAGCTGGTGATATATGAATACACGTGTTGGTGTACTGACGCCGCTGATGACGTAACGCTATGTAGATGTCACTTTATCTGCCTGCGGAACTTACCACGAATATAGCAACAAATCACATAGCGAAAGATAATTATTGATGTATTATAGTGAAACCCCTTAAATCTGGTTTCTGTTAATCCGCAACCTCTCGATTATCTGCCAGCAGTTTTAACTGAGTGAGTGAGATAGTGTTGTTTAACGCCTCTTTGCACATTATTTCAGCCATATGATTGTATATCTTATGTTGGAGAAGACATGTGAACAAACACATACAGTTACATGATATTGGCCGCATGCTTCTGACGACGTTGTAAGCAACATCAAGTCATTCACTACAAACATCATGTGCTCCAACATCGTCGACATTCTGCATAGCAGCTTCCGCCGTGCTGGACCTGCGACGTTCACATGTTTTCCCGATGTATGAGAGGCCGCCACTGATGATGCTGTGTTCTCAGTACATGACATCGTCACTGAACTCAGTCACCTATCTACTCAGATGAAGGTTCACATACACTGCCACGATTGTCTCTCATACATACACCAGTGATTCTGTCAAAACATTAGCGTTGGTGGCAGCTGATTTCAGGCGATATTTAACGAGTAATAACAACATACAGGTGTGAAGGTGATTGATTGTTCGTACTGACATTTATAAACATCTCCGTCATTCAAGGTAAACGCACCACTTACCGATATAAAAGACAAATATTGCCGTTACCATGGCAACCATCAAATCATTGAACTTACAGCTTCATTCAGTTTTAGCACTTGTGAATTGACATTTCCCATAGTTTTAAGTTACGTTCAATAATTTAGTAGAAATATTTTCGTATATCTCCTACATCATAAAGGTAACGTTTCAAGGGTTCCTTTCAATGTTGCCCGTTTTATCACAGTATTATTGCTTTCTTTTATGTTAACGAGTATTGGTTGAATTTTGAGAGATTTGCTCAAAGCAAGTTAGCAACTAACGCCCATTTGATCTGCGCCACCGTAGACTACCGTTGTGACGTTCTTAAATTGGTGCCCATCACAGCCTGTAATCTGACTGCGCCACCGTAGACTACCGTTGTGACGTTCTTAAATTGGTGCCCATCACATCCTGTAATCTGACTGCGACACCGTAGACTACCGTTGTGACGTTCTTAAATTGGTGCCCATCACATCCTGTAATCTGACTGCGACACCGTAGACTACCGTTGTGACGTTCTTAAATTGGTGCCCATCACATCCTGTAATCTGATTGCGACACCGTAGACTACCGTTGTGACGTTCTTAAATTGGTGCCCATCACAGCCTTATCGATCCAGCAGAGAAAATATATTTCAAAGATTAAAAAAGACTGAGAAATAAGAGAAATGAGTTATTTGTAACTTCCGAAACATGCCTGAACTTTATGAACGTAATCGGAACACGTGCCCCCGTGTGTACTGCATACTACATCTCACACATATAGTACACCTAACGCGACGCCATCGTAATCCTCGTCTGTCATAGCTCAGGCTGCTCTGTGTTCCTCTCATGGAGTACTACCGCTTCGTCATTCTATATTGGGTTTGTTTGTTATTAAAACACACAATTGTTTTTGGTTCAAAGTCGTGTCGAATGTATAGCGTTTCTCTGTGTCTATTGTTAATAACTAACACATGGTTTTACCGCTTCACACATGCGCATTTCAACGAAGGTTATCATGACAATGTTAAAACTACTAAAGCATATCAGTGGCGAATGCGGGATTTGTGTGTGTGTGAGAGAGAGAGAGAGAGCGTGTGTAAGTGCGTGCGTGCGTTCGTGCGAACGAGCGGGTGGGCGTGCGGGCGTGTGTTGAACACTGTATCCAAGGACCTCATGTTGGGGTGAAGGAAATGGGGGTGTGAGCGTTTGTGTGTGTGTGTGTGTGTGTGTGTTTGCGTGTGTGCGTGCGTGCGTGCGTGCGAACAAGCGTGTGTTGGACAGCGTATCCAAGGACCTCATAACCAATACCTATCCCCATACCTAACGTCTTCGGTTTTGTTACATAGTTTTTGTCGAATAACAGAACGGTACATACAAACTGGTGACATCTCTCCCTACCCCTGCCACCGACACTTGGAAGAGTGCTGACATCGCCTTGTCGTCATCCTATGAATAGCAGTGAATATTACGACCATGACCTAGTTGCGTTTCCCGAAGTAATCGCGATTCAGACCGAAGTAAATGTCAATGTTGTCTTTTTCGTTGACCTGAACGCTATGTACAGATACATGCCGTTATGGATGTGTTATTGATTTCACGTATAGTATTAGCGAACTACGGAAATGTCAACCTGCCTGTAGCAATGATGAGAAAATGATTTGAGACAAGATGTATGTGGCTATGATGGTTGACATTGACACAACTGCTGACAGAAGAGCTTCATCTAAAACACACCCATACATGCACAGAAGTGGTTTGATGGGGGATGGGGTGGAAGCGCTACTCCATTGTCACGATCAGTACAGAGAGAGAGAGAGAGAGAGAGAGAGAGAGAGAGAGAGAGAGAGAGAGAGAGAGAGAGAGAGAGAGAGAGAGAGAGAGAGAGAGAGAGAGAGAGAGGAGAGGGAGAGAGAGAGAGAGATGACATATACATATATAAATACACTATTCACTGAAAGCGAGCAATTTGTAATCATGTAATCAGCGATATAACGTTAACTAGTTAATTACATACTCATTAATGTTACTGAAAATTAGAAACTGTTTACCTACAGTGCACCCAGAAGTGGCACTGAACGCTCGCCTTCACACAGTCGGATGACGTAAGACTGATGTGTAGTTCCGATGTATGACGACACAGCATGTGTTGACTCGCGCCTCGAAATAAACACCAGTCACGTGCTGAGCTGGCAATGAGTTGGTGTTTACTGTTGCAACTGACAACTGTTGTCAAAGCTGTCATGGAAACCACACATGTCACATGAAAAAGGGAACAGGTATATTTTCCTTTCACATTACAACACGTTTGCTGTAGAATCTCCTGTAACAAATTAACAGGGGGCACAGATCATTTTCACATGGCACCATTCAAGTAAGTTATAATCCAGCCCTGTTATAAACATCAAACAGTTCGTCATCCGAAACAGTGTTGAATCTCCACTGGGAAAGCCATCTCAACACATATAGCCTGTCTCGCGTGCGACGTCGGTATCACAAAATCCATGGTCGGCTGTGGTAGGTAATGACGCGACATCGTTGTCGAGGACCTAGTCACGTTCGTGGATTGGTCAGCAGCGCTCCCCTCCACACAGCGTCACACAGAGTCTGACGGGCGGGCGGACGTCGTGACGAGCTCGGCGATTGGCGGACGATGATGCATGGCGACATGGAACATCAGCCTGTGTGGATCGCTGTGAGGAGCGCTCGGTTCAGCGTTGTATTGAGCTGTTTGAGCCACGACGTTCGGGTTCCAGCGAGAGCTATGCGAGAGAGCGCTTATCGAGTGTTAAAAACCGTTTTCTTATTCTTGCTTGATTTTTGCAATTATTTAGAGTAGTGCATCAGCGAAAAATCAAGGCTGAGGATTGTTCTTTGGAAGGAAACTATTTTTATTTGTCTTTCAATATACTACAGAAAGGATTCCAAAGACATCTATCTATTTTCCTGAAATGATGAACAAAGTCTTACACAAGTACTTATGATATTTCGTATGAAAGCGTTTCAGTGTCAGTAATAGATAAACTGCAATATCTCCCACATTGAAAAGAATTCCTAGTCAATAAAAATACAAAAATAGTTTGGCAAAATGGTGACTGAACATGCTTCGTACATGAAGATCAGCATCGTCCTGTCAGGGACACGGTCACTCTGGCTGGCCGGAAGTCACGATGGCACACGGCACACTTTGATGATGTCACAGTGGAAGGTTCTGTATCTAAACTCTGACCTGGTCGTATACGAGCTGCATCACCTTCATATGATGTAAGTTTCTATTTTTAGGCCTTTACCAGGTCGAATGTGAGCTACACCATCTTTGTATGAGTAAAGAGTGAGTGAGTTTAGTTTAACGCCGCTTTTAGCAATATTCCAGCAATACCACGGCGGGGGACACCAGAAATGGGCTTCACAAATTGTACCCATGTGGGGAATCGAACCCGGGTATTCGGCGTGAAGAGTCAAGGCGTTAACCACTAGGCTACCCCATCGCCCCTCATATGAGTAAAGACATAATACATTTATTTATAGACTTCACCTTTGTCGCGTGAAACATGAACATGAATGTCAATTTGTTTTATTTGTTTCTTACAGTGAAATATACTTTAAGAAAGAGAAGCTGCTGACCTAATCCTTTCAACCACGACATGCCTTTGTGTAGGAGGTGGGGTGATGAGTGATTGCTCCAGAGGGAGATGGGTAACCTTTACATACAGACAGTAATCTGGAATGGGATAACGTGGAGGATTTAATTGTCAGCACAAAATCTCGCATCTCGGCCATGTACCGTTGTCCGTCTAGCACTTCTTAATTGCTTCAAGCATAGTTCTGTACTGCTGATGGTGTGTTTAGTCGCCTCTACGAAGACATCGGTTTGATTCTCTTTGTTTGTATCGAAACATAACGGGGTCCCCAGTGTCGCTAAATTTGAAAGAAGCCTTAAACCAGCTGACTGTACAAATCGTCTTGGTATCGAGACATTAGATATTCACTTGTTTCCGAAATCGGTATCTTTAAGCAACGTACACATTATTTACCCTATAATTAGGGCTCGAATCAAAATGGAATATATTCATGACTGTCACAGACATGTTTCACATTCTGTTACATTACAGAGTGATATGAATGAAAGTTTCTTTGAAATCGAAGACATATATTCTAAATGTCTTGACACACATCATATGAGGTCATGGGGGTTCAAACAGCAAACTTACAGGGCCGAGACTACTGAACTATAGACATTACTGCCGGGACTATACGCTATATGCGATTTTATGAACGCATCAATGAATTCACAAGTTCAACGCACAAGCTTTGGCTTCAAACGCTGACGATTCGTTGTACGGGTCAATGAGTTTTAAAGACTAATTATTCGAAGAGCAGCGTGTTACTGACCTACATAGGATAGGCGTGGCCTGACCTCAGATAGGCGTGGCCTGACCTCAGATAGGCGTGGTCTGACGTAAACAATGTAATTAATTTCTGTCATCTCACAGAGCTACAATAAGCACGCCTGAATTCTCTCATGGCTACAAATTAACGTTACCAAAATCTCCTATATTAAACACAATAAACGCTTGAAATGCCGTATAACTACACATTAACAAAACTAAAATAAAGTATGACTGCAGATAAACACAACTGAATTCTTCTCTAGCTACAAACACCACTTATATTCACTTCACCTAAACATAAACATCTTGTACTCCCCTATAGCTACAAACATCACTTATATTCACTTCAACTAAATATAACCATCTTGTACTCCCCTATAGATACAAACAAACACTGCTGACAGTCCATGTAACATACAAATACGCGCCCCTGAAATTCTAAGGCACGAATCTAAAGACTTTAATGGCGAACAGTTAGAAGGAAAGTATTCTATTGTTTACCACAGCAACAAGTAAACATCACTGTAATACCAACAAGTAAACATCACTGTAATCCTGCTTATTTCACAGCTTGTCTGCCCTACACCTACCTACACAAAAACAGTATCCTGTTAGATCCTGACGTAATACCAGCTTATGTATTTCATACCCATTCAACCCTTAATTCACTGTAATTCACCACCTAATTTACTGCACATTGATCCCTTACTTTTCTTGCACATCGACCTTTTAACTTGCTACACATGCAGCCCTTAGTGCACTGGGACATTCAGCCCTTAGTACACTGGGACATTCACCCGTTCGTGCACTGGGACATTCACCTCTTAGTGCACTGGGGCATTCAGCCCTTAGTGTACTGGGACATTCAGCCTTTAGTGCACTGGGACATTCACCCCTTAGTGCACTGGGACATTCACCCCTTAGTACACTGGGACATTCACCCCTTAGTGCACTGGTGCACTGGGGCATTCAGCCCTTAGTGTACTGGGACATTCAGCCTTTAGTGCACTGGGACATTCACCCCTTAGTGCACTGGGACATTCACCCCTTAGTACACTGGGACATTCACCCCTTAGTGCACTGGGACATTCACCCCTTAGTGCACTGGGACATTCACCCCTTGGCACTGAACTGGGACTGGGACATTCACCCCTTAGTGCAGTTCACCCCTGAGTGCACCCCTTAGTGCACTGGGACATTCAGCCCTTCAATCACTATTCACTGTAAATTCATCCGTTAATTCAGTACACTTCAAACCTTCACTTCTCTGCACTTTCAGCACTATGTTCTCTGCACATTCAACACTTAATTCCAATATGCAATTTCACAATTGGCATCGCACTTACCCCGTTATTCCCTGCATCTCCTTCCATCAATCTCTTGCTTATTCACCAACCAATTCCATCGACATTCATTGTAAAATACAACAACAGCCGACAGAAACCCAAGCCCCGTGTGAAACAAAGCAAGATGAGCATTTCATCAAGCAGGTCTCGTCAATAATCCCACTGAAGAAGCGACAGGTGCGTTAACGTGAGGAACGGTTGTGGGAATACTTGCATTCTACGGAGTTGTCTGTATAAAGGCGTTTCCTTGCAACCAATACGCGACAACTTGCCGAGTTATTCTGAATGATCGAATGACCAAACGTGCTGAAGGCAAATTTATTCGCCCAATATGGCGACCAGTCAAACTATGCTCGGTCTTTATTACATGGTGTCAATCATCGACCAAACTTTAATTAACCTTCACGAGGTTATGAGGGGAGTCGTATCTGGGATTTCTTGCACTGATGTGGTATTACAATTAACCGCAACATTTTCATCTTTTGGCAGTCCAATTTAGTTTCCTGCATGGAGTGAGTGAGCCGCACACGTGGCACTTCACAGCAGAACTTTAGTTTTTGTTGTTTAGTTGGCTAATCGAGCGATATCTTAAGTAGAGGGCGTCATCCCCAAGGCAATCGATCACACCTATTCTACCAACAGTTTTAAGAATGAGTTCTTTTAACTGGTTGTTGCACGTTGCTTGTGAAGTAAAACCCGGAAATCGGAATTGTAAAATCACAAAACAGCCACATAAAAAAATCAACGAGCAATCAACATATTATAATTGAATTACACTGGACTCGCTATAGGTGTACAATCGCCAAAGTAATACAACCGATACAATGGGTCAAAAGATATGGCAGCAACAGATGTCACTAGTGTCTATTAAAACCTACCAACGCCTGGTATTTGTGACAGTTATATGTCTTGTATAAGGCCCATGTTCCGTTCTTGAAACCTGAAATAGTGTTGGGAGTAGATATCGTCCCGGTGGGTGAGTAGAGTCGCCTCAAGTCAAGTCGTAGGGAGGACGCCTGCAATCGTCGTTGTATTGCTCTTATATAGGAACAGACCACCAGGGTCCCTACGACCCAACATAATCTTTATAACCCATATATAAATTCCCTATAGCTCCCTGTATAAAACTCCTAGAGCCCTCTATAGAACCTATATAACCCTCTATAGAACTCCTAGAACCCTGTAGAGGACCCGCTATAGAACCCCTAGAACCCTCTATAGAACACCTAGAACCCTAGAACCCCTCTATAGAACCTATAGGATCCCTAGAACCCTGTATAGAACCCCTAGAACCTCTATAGAACCCCTGGAACCCCTGTATAGAACCTATATAACCCCTGTATATAACCTAGAACCCTGTATAGAACCCCTAGAACCCTGTATATAACCCTTAAAACCCTGTATAGAAACCCTAGAACCCCTGTATAGAACCCCTAGAACCCTGTATAGAACCCCTAGAACCTTATAGAACCCTAGAACCCTGTATATAACCCTGTATATAACCCTAGAACCCTGTATAGAACCCTAGAACCCTGTATAGAACCCTAGAGCCCTCTATAAAACCCCTAGAACTCCTCTATAGAACCTATATAACCCCTGTATAGAACCCCTCGAAAACCCCTCTATAGAACCCCTAGAACCCTCTATAGAACCTTAGAACCCTCTATAGAACCCCTAGAACCCTGTATAGAACCCCTAGAACACCCTTTGTCCTATGACCCTTTGCAGTGGCATCATCATTCGCCCCCTTCTGCCGACTGCAAGACGACAGCAATATGTATTGTATTTTACATACATCTCGTACTTCAAGTATACCCAGCATGCTGTGTTCATTAGCTCTGTATAGCAACTGTCCGGTGTATTTTAGCAGCATCTTAACTTCAGTGAAGTATACCTGAAACATTGTGAACGAGGACAATTCTTTCAGCTATG